CACCTTCTAACTGAGTATTGGATTTATTTAAAATAAAATTATTATATAATCAAACAGTATTCGAGATTAAAGATTTCATTTAGTTCTATCCTTAATCATGGATCTATATTTATAAATGTAGTTATTAGAAAAAAAAAAACTTTCAAAATGTTCTTCAATTCGGAATGGGTTAAGTATATTTTATCGTTACCTGGGAGTACATTTCTCCCACCTCTAGATATTTGTAATATAAAGAGGTTGTATACAAACGATATTAATGCAGTTTAGTTAGGTAGTGAGTAGGAACAATACTGAATATAAAAGATCCAGATTGCTTGCTATGTTAAAATAGAAAAAATATATACTATGCTTCAATCTATGCACACTATAAACCATAACGATTATAGAAATTTTACAGCTCATCTTAAAGAAAAAAATAAATATAGCATTATGAATATAAAATTACTCAAATATAATATTGTACAGTTAGGAGGTTTAATATAATATTGTACAAAATCATAAAAATCAAGCTTGTTATAAGAAAAAATCTATTTAATAATCTAAATAGAGCTCATAGAGATTTTAAAGTAAATATGGAGGGAGAGGAATTTTGATTGGGTGATCTTAAGAGTGCGAAAACAACATTTAAGCCGACACGCTTAACATTTAAGCTTGGTACAATTAAGAAACAACCTACTATATTCAAGCAAAAGCTTTAAAATACATTTAAAAATAACGTTAAGTTAACCATTTCATGGTTTGCTACAAAAAGATAAAAAATATAATATACTAGTCGTAAATCATAAAAATAAAGTAATTTAACTTTCTTTAAATTTAAATTCGTAGTGAAAAAAAGTAGGTATATTTTTTCTGCAACGCTGGTCAGATACTAAGATTTTTTTTTAAAGGTTAAATAGAATGAAATATTTAGTATAAAAGAGAATAAACCATTGGCTAAAGTATAAAAACAAGATATTTGCGAATTATCCTCTGAAACCAATAATAGAAACTAGAATAGTTATGATCCCATTCTTATAATAAAGGCCAAGTTTCTTCAATAGCTTTCAAGGCATAATCAGTAGATAGGGTTCAAAACTGTTTGCAGAAATTTGAGGAAAGAATTTTTACGACAGAGTATTGGCTCAACCCCACGGTGTACCTATTTGTAAGTAAATCTCTTTGAAAAAATTGTTATGTTAATTATTCTAAACATCCACTTATCTAACAATGTCAGGGTGTGTCAACATAAACGAGCCGGACACTGAGCCAAAAGTTTGTTCTTCAACTGAACCCTCGTTATCGGTGATAATGCGATGGTTTCCGTTCGCCGATGGGCTGTTGTTGACGGGTTGTGAGCGATCAAACCACTACCTACCTAACAACTTGACGATTGGTTTAGCTTTCTCACTACGACACGCATTACGACTCCGCCCGATTTTGGTACGACACACCTACTGAATTGTTTTATTCAAACACCATACTAGTTTGACATTTATGCATGTAATATATGTATGTAATTACTATCATACTACTGATACATCCATTAAACATCTGTTTCTATTTGATTGGAGTTGGCCAATGATATGCTTGAAAAAAAATTTGTTAATCTACGATAAAAACTTGGTTTACTGTATAGAGAAATTGACATATTACCTTCGAATTTTAACATGGCCCGAATTCGACGTTAGCTGAATAATGCACTGGGAAAATGCAATTACTGGAACACCATCGAAGTGCCATTATTTCGTTAACGTTAGAATTGAGGCCCCAATCAAACGATACAATGTTAAGGTGTATAAACTGGAGTATTTTCTTCATTTCTATGCAATTATGGGTCAGGCCCACCGCAGGCCCTGCGCGTGTTGTTTGGTATTTACGACTGAAGATTGAGCCGGGACCAACGGTTTAACGTGCTTTCCGAAGCACGCAGATAATAAATTGTTGACTACCCATTCTATACCCGGCCATTACGAAAGTTGCTTAACAATCGTACCGCAGACCGAGCACTTTTATATTATGCATGAATGTAAGTTAAAATTTCTTATTTGCAAATTACGTATATTGTTCATCAGAATAAAACAACAACTAAAACTATTTTGGACAACATGTTGCATGATAAAACACGGAGCTGATCAAAGGCCCGAGTACGCCCGGTAAATATTTTGAGTGGAGAGGACCCATTACGTATTTATAAGATCGCTTCTCGGACGTCAAAGAACATCGATGATTTTATGTTTTTGTCCGAATAGTTACACAAATTCGTTCATTAGTTGGTTAAACAGTTGTTCATTTATCCTGATAAAAGTAGACAAAATACCGCTTTTGTTGTAAGCGAACACTCTAGTTTAAAATACACCCTAACACGTAAAAATTAAGAACTCATAGTGTCTCTGAACTATCCATAATAATGGCACACGAATAAAAAAAAATGCAATTACGGTAATTTACTTCATAGCGCGTATATTACCTGGAGGCTGTAGAAATGAAGAATGTGTAACAAGTCTAAAATCAACTCAGTCATGTTACTATAATAATTATTTACGGCGGTAAATTACTTTTACTATTAATTTCTATTTTTTACGTGAGAATGAATGAAAAGGAAATATTAATATAGTAGTGATATTACTTGTATCCGATAGTTCAAGAAATATAATAAATAAACCCTGTTCAGCAAAGACAATACCAATATTTTACATAAAAATAAAGAAAAAAATACATTCCAAAATCAAAATCAAAGATTAATATTACCATAGATTAGAAAAAAAAAAAAAAGTCAACCGACAATACGAACTTGTAGAAAAATGTCGACAATCGACATCATGTTTATGTTTTCCCTCCCCACTTTTAACGTGTGACGTCATTTATGAATGGCTCATCGAACATATTCATCGTACTTTTAAACCGCTTGAGAAATATATTAACATTCAAAGGTAATATCTATTATTATTAAGTAATAAACCCTTCACAACTATTAATATGCGAGACACACAGACAGTCATCTTATTATTAACATTGATTACGTTATGTAGGCTATGGACGTGGAACCACAATAATGATTAAAACCTTATCTTAATTTTAGACTTTCCATAATATACCGTTCTCACATTTTACCGTACATGCGTTGAGGTTCGTTTATATCTACAAACATTATGCGAATCAAACATATGCCAACATAGATAATTAAATTCCTTTAAAGTGTCTATTAACATATTCTAATAGTGGAGACTTGAGATCTAATGGCTTTTAATGGCTTGACTTTTAATTGGCCTTTTGTTTTTATTTAAGTATTCATTGTAAATCTTCCAACAATTTAATAAATAAAATGAATAAATATCTAATACGACCGTACAGACACAGAAGCAAAAGACATTTTTCTACGATGTTCTACGGATTTCTACGTAGTCTGTGATTATATGCGGACAGTGTGAATTGAATTGGAGCGCTTAACGCCTGTATATATAAACAAACCTTTATACTTTCTTAAAAGATCAATAAATTAGAATGCAAACGTTTATACGTAATGAAATCATACGTATATACATAAAATAAACTGTGCCTTATAGCTAACAAACGAAAGTACAAATCTGACAAAAGAACATTCTTATAAAAAAAAATTAAGCGATGCGCAAATAGTCTCTGATTTTGGAAACTGCCAACCAGCAACTAATTGATTAAAAAGTGATTCATATAAAAAGTTCGAAATTTAAATTGCTCTGGACTCATTATTTTCTTTGCAGTAGTATTGACTATCTGTAAAAATTATTTATATATCTTAAGATTAGACCATACTCCGGGACCTCAATAACATAATAAATTATAATTAACAACAATAGGTTTTAACGAGAGCCATATAACACATGTGGCAATTAATTATTCGACATTTAAACTGACTCAGATTCTATAATTATCCAAACTAGAATTAATATCAACTTTCATCTTAAATTAATTAAACATCTTACATATATAATCAAATGTTAAATAAATCTCTAATTTTAAATTATTTTAATAAATTATTAAATTTACAAAAATATTCAGAATATCCGTTTTTTTTTTGGAGACAATACGATTTGTGTATAATTTGCCTAAGTAGTTACAGCACGCAATATCTTTTATATATTCCATATATAATATTAGCTAGCTGTAAGCTTTCTGAAGATAATAAAAAATAATAATAAATATGCGACTATCATACGACATATGGCTTCCATGTAGTGGTAGTAGTGTAGTCGATTTAATATAAAAGAAGAGAACGAATTTACACATTAATACGAAATTATTGTGTAATTAGACCGAAAAATTATTTTTACAATGGGGTTCATAAAATCTTTTAAATAAATTACACTTACCAACGACGAATAAAATAAAAAATATATATATAAAAATAAATATCTCAAATGCAACGTATAATAAAAGCACTGGTTTATCACCGTCCTAGATTGCACATAATGTTGCACAATAAAATATAAGGGTGATCCTAACACCTACAAAATAAACCCAAAGCATAATGACAACCGTACAATCTTCAGACCATTTCTCATTTCTAAGACTACGTTCGCTAGGACCAGCCAGCATAAAAACATTATAAAGTACAAACCTGACACCGAAGACCAAGCAATTAAAGTACTTCTTACAATACTAACCCGATATGTTGTATAGTTTTAATTTTCGTTCGTTTGCCTGTATAAATATTTTTTTGAGCAACGAAAATATACCCAATTTAGAATTATTTCATATAGAAGTTGATCTGTAACTACGCGAAGATTTAATTAAACAATGTAATATGAACTGGTATGTATGTGTAGAAGTAATTTAATGTTGGCCTGCAAGTGTATATCTACACTAATATTATATTAAAAATACTATTCATAATATTAGTATACACAGTCCAACGTTGCATCCGCGAAGCTAAGAGTGACGTTAAGTACGTAATACAGTCAAGTTCAATATCAAGTATCCTAAAAACAGACTGCCAATAGGCTGGCCCTCAACCTTGACTGTACCATTAAAAATACCTTTCTAATTTATTGGTCTGAATCAATGTTAGTGGTTTTATCTCCAAAGGTGGGTTCATCTTTAAGGAACGTGCCAGACCGTTCCATTATCGGTATATTTTCCACGGGTGGTTCATTTTCACCGCGACGCTGTGTCTGTTTGGTTGGTTTTTTGGTATTCTTCGGAGGTATTTTGGCGCGGCTCGTTTCCTTCACCACTTTGGTGACCATTTTCGCTGAACTAGATTTAGTGGCGTTCATGAGAGAACAAGAGCTTTTCTCTGATGTTTGGTTTCGGGGTTGCAACGAAACTGATGTGTTGCTAGTGGTAGTTGCAGACGTTGACGTCCTTGGGCTGAAGTTAGTTTTCTTTTGTGAATCGATCTTTTTGCTCGGATTACCGTTCTCATTACGATTCTGTTTGGAAACTTGGTTCAGATATACTGGAATTTTTGTTCTGACCTTCCCGTTGGTTGCGGCCGTCTGTGTGGATGTCGTTGGAGCTCTGCATGTCTTGTTTGCTGGAACGAGAACTAAGTTAAGATAAATAATTTAGGTTTTTAAATAATATAACAATAAAATTAAAGTGTTTACAGGACAAATTTGCAATAAGTGCACAATTATCTTCCTGCTTAGTAGTAGTAAACAAAGGTTCATCGACAAAAATAAGCTATCAACCTCCAGGCACAGTATATCATAAAAAGCGACGTGTTTAGAGACATCTATTTCATTTTACTATCTACGATATTAAGTAGAAAAATTAGAAAGTAAAATGTGAATTATCTACAGTAACGAACACATTATTGTTTGTGTACTGGGTATAATCTTTTCCAGTATACTAAACATTCAATACCACAACTATTGTACGGGTAAAAGTGCGTTTATCCATAACTATATGATCTTTTTTTTGTTTCCACCCAGAATAGAGGAATATCTAATAAAAAAATATTTGTTTTATTATTATCATGACGTTTTTGACATTGATTGATATTAACAATTTAATTAAAAACATAATAAAAGCAAACTCAAACAAAGAAAGGCTTTAATAAGTGACATACGTTTATTAATTCTACGAGAAAAAAACTACACTTACTATCAATAGATCCCTTAGATGTATGCTTAGTTTTGGTGTAAGTAGCATACTTGTTGCTATTTTGTGACTCGCTGTGTGAGTCTGTAGAAGGCTCTGCTGTACGCGGGCGCGAGCCCGTCGCCAAGCTGTCTTGCGACATAGCTTTCGTCTTCGCGTCGTTATCCTGTCGAGTTTTCATTCGACTCGTTCTTAAATTACGAGCCTGTATCGGGCTAGAGTTGCGAGACGATTCACTAGACGATATCATTTTCGGAGCTAGTTTTTTCGTCGTATACTTTTTATAATCAGAACTGTTTCGCGGTTCCAAATATCGAGGCTTTGTATTCTCGAATGTAGTTTTTGGCAATGATTTTGTATTCAAACGCTCCTGTGACAATGTGGTTTTGGTCAAATTAAATTTAGCCCTTTCTTCTTGCGCTTTAGTCGTTCGCACTTTAGGTGGGACTGTACGGCAGGCTGTTTTAGTATCTTGCAAACTTTTGGTGCTCTTCAAAGCATCAGTACTCATGTGTGTGGTAGGTTTGGATGCGTACGGGACAAAAGAGGCGCGCATTTGATCGATATCCAAGCTTTTAGACGTGGCGCTATGGAACTTGCTGGATTTATTTTGATGATCAGTCCTGCTTCGTCTGTTTTGTAATAAACTCGATTGACCCGACATTGGTGGTTGCCCGCCGTACAAGCTGCAGCCGAGCTCTCTTAACCTTATCCGCAACTCTGGGGTGAGGTCAATGAAAGCTTGCGTGCAAATGACACGAGGACCCGCTCTGACGAGAGCATTTTCGCATAGAAGCATCCAATTAGGTGCGTGAAAATATAGAAGGTTGTCTTGGCCAGGCACATTGTTCGAAATCCCATTAGTGATGAGGTCCGGTTTAGCAAAACGATAATTCCTGAGCTCACGCACTACAGACGCTAAAAGGGCGTAAGCGCGACAACATTCGTCAGGTGGTGCTATTTCTATTGCCGCAGCTATACATTCGTTGAGAGCCTGTATGACATAGTATGGCGGATCTGTGGGTAAAGTTCCAATGTCCCGCAACACGGTCGTCAGTTCTGGTGCAATAAAATGAGCCGTTGCCAGATTTAAGCGCCGACACATTCGCGCCACCACCTGACCCCACCTACTGTTCTGTAACGCATGCACTGTAAACAAATTACATCTTAGATCGAAGTGTTTTAAAAGTAACAGAAAAATGAGAATGAAGTATGTAAATATAAATTATACGAAATATGCTTATTAAGAAAAAAAATCTGAATCATCATTAGTTTATAAATGTATATGCACCTGTGATACCACATCCATACGAGAAGTCTACGATGATTGGAAGACTGAAATCCATTACTACTTGCTGGTAGCATTTCTCCAGTAGTTCCGAGGGCAACGTGGCAAAGGCTTTTGTTGGCCACACCAATGAAAAATATTTTGCTATCCATTTCAAACATTTTCTGTACAAATCGTCCAATCCATAAACGGATGACAACGGGAAACACTCCAGCACGCCTGCCGTACAAAGGGCGCAAGGCTGAAATTTAATATATATATTTTTAAATAATTTTATCAATTCGTATACAAAGGATATATGTATATTAGGTTGGGAAAAAGTTTTTTCGCATATAGTATGCATAATAAAATATTTCTGGCTATACCATTTGTATCTGGCTGGTTTTAGTAACATTAAAAAGTAAAAATTTTGGTGAAGATAATTCCGAATTCAGGTTAGGAAATTTGTGGGACTCATTTGTTTTTCTTACAGTAAAAAAGAATGAATTTAATGAAGAAATTCGATACATTTTACAAAGTTGCACGTCTTTCCGTTCGCACTGTTACTGATTAAATGGATGCCTTTTTGAAAAAGTGCATTGGTTACCTCACGAGCTCACTGAAAGAAACCTAACGAACCGCGTACTTATTTGTGATTCTTTATTACGGCGTAATGAAACCGAACCAGTTTTGAAGAAACTCAGGCTTCACAGACTGTGACGAAAGTCGGATTAAATCACAATGTGATGCTGTCTGCATGGTGGGATTGGAAGGGCATTATGAACCGTTATTGCCAGGTAGTACCGTCGATTGTCAACACTACTGCGAGCAAATGATGAGATTGAAGCAACAAGTTGAGAGAAAGCGGCCAGAATTAAACAATAAAAGGGATGTGGTTTTTCATCATGATAATGCTAGATCTCACACATCTTTTGCCACTCAGAAAAAAATAAGAGAGTTTGGCTGGGAGGTGTTAATGCATCCGCCGTATAGTCCTGACCTTGCTTGCACCTTCATATTTCCACCTGCTTTTGACTCTTCAGAATTCTTCAGTGTCAGGTTAACATCACGCAAGGACCACCAAAACCAATTGTCGCGGTTTATTGATTAGAAGCCCAAAAATATCTATAGCAATAGGATCATATCTCTACCCACAAGAAGGCAAAAAGTTATCGAGCAAATTGGTACCTACATACTTTACTTAAATGTAAATAACTTTTATTAAAAAATGTTTTAAATTTTCATATAAAATACGAAGAAACTTTTCCCCAACCAATTATAAGTATTTACATATAGCAAAAGCTAGTTATATCGTTCGCCAACACTGTTTAAATAGTATAGTAATCGGTTTTGAAAACCCGAGCGCTTAAAACTAACTATGGATTACAGTTTTATGTCGGCTGACCAGCAAGAAGATTGTAGAACTGTAATTTGAAAGAATTGTAATCGGTTTTTAGATACACTTTTCATTATTTATCATGCAACGGCGATAGGACGTGACCATGCCTCTGATACGCAATAATATTTACAGATATGATTTTAAAATTACAAAAACTATTCGAAATGTTCCTAAATTTCGTTCTTGAAAAAAATTAGGTAGCGAAAATATTGGTGGAACATATTATATTCATTCTCGGTAGGCACAGCCTATCAAATGAAAATTAGTCATGTGAGATCTTCAATATATTATCCTAAATAGTAAGGAAAAAGGACATTTTAATTAGTCATAAAATATTTTATGTTGTTAGAAATAAACGGGACTGACCATTAAACTTGCCACCCGTCTAGATCTACTTTGGTGATTGAAGTCAACAACCACGGCATATATCATAATATTGAACTTGGCTCTCGTTTTACATTAATGTGTTTGACTTTTTGTACAGAAATTGTTTGTAGATAGAAGTAGGCGTTGAGCCTAAACACCATTTGTCATTAATATTTAGTGCTATTCTAATATTACAAAAATTATTATTAAAAAATGATAAAGAATTACTAGATTAAGATTTTATTCATTCACCCTAACAAGACGCCAAATTTCATCCTTCTTGGTCATCTGGAACTGGGTTAAAATTGTGATCTGTACGTAAAAAAATGACGATTTTTTGGTCGTTAATATCTAAATAACCGTTTAAGGTGTGTCTGAGAAATTCGGAACACATATATATTTCGTGGTTGTCAATGTATGAGGATTATACATTGAGGTGACTCCAACTGGTTCGTATAATATTAAACACTGCCGCTTGCCAGTTCTGTACTTGGCCTGACGCACTACCGAGCGTCTACTGCATCTAGATCTGCGCATCAAATGTAGTATCATGACATTTTGCATACTGATCATCATCACACTCAAAAATGTTTCACAATCGTAACTGCTTTCGAAATTATGCCGAAATTCGTTAAAAGAAAAACAGAGTACGCCCCCTGCATTGTACGTTTATTATATGTTAATTTAATATTCTAATATTGTAGCTGACAGTTATACTATAATATTGTTAAGTTTCAATTAGATATTTGAATCTGATATGTATATATTTATTCCTCTTTATATTAATAGGTTTTTGACTAAAAATAATATTATGTAAGTATATTTCTTAACATATATTTTAACATATAAATAACTTACTGTATGAAAGTTATGACAATATTTGCTCTTCAAGTAAAACATGATTGCTTCTTTAAGACCTTCCAGACCGAGCATATCAGCTAGGGTCGCTAGTTCCACAATACTGATTGAATCGGGTATAGTGGACACCCCAGAATATATATGGCAAAGAGCAAAGTGTACCACATTGAAAGAGAATCTGTAAATTAACAAAAATGTGAGTATCCAATTTCGGTATATATTAGTTAGATAGCAATTAATGACGGGAGGTTCGTCTTATTACACTGAAAAAGGAATAAAATGGATAGTTATTGAAAAGAAAATTCAAAAAAAGGTATTGAAAAGAAAGTTCAGTTTAAAATACAATACCAATATATAAATATAAGATATCTAAATAGGAATGTCTATAAACTTCTTTAATATGACATGATAAATTAAGTGTGACTGCAGTAAATTATACCATACTGTTTAATACTAGCTGACAAACGCAAACGCAAAATTATTTTATTGATATTGTGAGTTATCCTTGGAAGATAGACCTATACCAAAGCGGACTTTTTTGTAGATCTATTAAAAAGGTACAAAACCACCATAGATTGTTTTGTTACCGTCCAGTACTTTTCAACTTTATCGCGAACAGAATAGCCAGACAGACAAACAGACGTGCCGGGGAACTTTGTTTTATAATATGTAGTGATAAGCCCGGCCAGGATTGTTCAACCTGTGACTAAAGCTTATGTTCCCGTGGAAACTAATAAGATATAACTTAAATAATAATAGGTTTATCTTACGGCGGCAAGGCGATCACGTTTCCAGCGCTTTCTACCCAACCACCACTCAAAATCCCAGCAAAGTATTGGCATCTGCAAAAATGTACGCATTATTTAAAACGAGGAGTTAATCAATCTTAAAAAAGTCGAAATCCAATAAATACCTTGATGATAATATACACTTATGTGCTTTGATGCGCCTTCCTGATACTTCCACAATTACATCTGGAGCTATTTCTTCTAGAAACATGCGCAATAAGTCTTGACCAAGCCGAGATTGACAATGGCCTATAAAACTGGAAGCTTGGCTAGTTTCCTCTGCTGAACTATTTTCTGAAAAACCAATATTAAATTAATAAAATAATAATTGTGTAAATACTTCAAAAAGGCAGGATAACACACTGCTCAATTCGGTCTAAGGACATTTAACATTGGTCTAATTAAAAAAAATTAAAAAAACAAATAAAATAAAGAATTATATCAAATTATTCAGAAATGATTCCAAATTCGATTAAATGAATGAAAAATAAATAAATTGAAGATGTAGGTGAGCAAAATATTTGTTTGTTTTTTCAGTAGAACATGATATAAAAATAGAAATGGTTATGTAGAGAACGGAGTATTTGTTTTTTTACATAAACCAAATTTTACATGTTTTTTCGTTAATGTAGCATTCTTAATTAAGGGCAGCATTCAGGTTTAAATCATCTTTTTGAAAATTCCACCCAGGAGGAGATGTTAGGAGTCATAGGAATGTTGGAAGTTAGCCCTATATAGTGTCATAATGTCGCAGAAGCTATTGTTACTAAACAAAGAGTTTTATCAAGATTTAGGTCACGTTATCATGAGCCGGGCGAAGTGGCGGAGTGGCATCCTAGACAAATCCGTATTAGACTTCCATAGCAGGGAGAATTTTTGCAAACGATTACCAGCAAAAGAACCAAATGTTACAACGGGCAATTAGTCAAACGACTATAGGCTGAATACCAATTGCACGTGAATGACCAAACTATCAGAAGTAAATTGCAAAAGCCAACATTCATGCTCGTAAACTGCTACGATTATTATCCTTTACGAAGTAATAATCGTGTACGCAAACTACAGTGGGCAAGAAAACAATACAGCAGCGAATCTATGAACAAACGGTCGAAATCATGTGCACACGAATTTACATTTTATTAATAATAATGACACAAAAATATTGTGTAGTATACGGATGTTTAAATTCGACGTAAAATTTATTAATTGTACCACAGGATGAGTTTATACAATACGTCGAGAAGATGGATGCCATTTCTCGCAGTTGTTTTAGTAAAGAAAACATTAACTGTAAAATAGCGGAATCAATAAAAATAGAAATAGATGAGCCATCTTTTATCGCCCCTTGCCACAGTTTCCCGAGAGTTTATCAAAAAAAACTATTTTTGATAACAAGCATTTTTTTATACCATAAAATTCACTAATAAAGCGTTCAAAACTTGTCGTAACAGACGAAAATACTTTTCAGTGTGTAATATATAACACGGTAATAACAATAATAATCGTTTAAATATAATATAACACTGTTTTATTAGTTTAACTAGTTTTAATAAGAAGGCAACCCTAACGCTCCATTGCAGCATAGGTATTTATTTCCAGAATTCGCTCAAGTTTCACTACTGTATTATTCTGTGCTTAAACTGTGAACAGGGTCAATGAGCTGTGGTACTCTTTATTAACGATTCCTGGTTTAAATTTTTCCTGAGAGTGTGTTTGGCATTTCTTGGACGTGACAGCCAGCTTAACCACCCTGGAAAAGTGAATCCAAAACAATATTACAATCCTGGTTATAGAGGGAAATCGGCTCGGTGGAATAACCGTCAACATTTTTATACAGGCGGCGACATGACGGCCGTAAAATATCGAAATCGAAAGGTGTTCGGATCAATAGTCTTGGCACATCTAATACAAATAGGCCAAGATTTTCATCTTATGCAAGTGAATGCCCTTTCAACTACTACAATAGTGGTAACTGATTGATTACAGCAGAACCTTGTGGCATCCCTAGAGTGGCCAGTACACTCAACGGATGAAAATCCAACTAAGCACACGTGGGAAAGCACACATGTTCGAATGTAGAGCTCTGAAGAATACGCCCGAAAATCAAAATACAGAAGACTAACTTTTTTGATCTCCGAAGAACATGGGACAATATTTCTCTGATTAAAAAATCAACATATAAATATTATGGTTATATTACCATTACCATTTCAAAATAAAATGTTTTATTTTGAGACATAAGCTGGTTAACTAACGATTTCGATATATAAATATCTTGCAATTATAAAATTAATTTTATCAACTTACACATATATATACACACATCAACATCGTCTAGGGATATTTTGTATAAAGTTCTAAATTCAAAAAATACTGGCCGGTTTTAAAATCTTTTGATGAAAACTTATATTGTACGCCTTTTTTTAATGATTCCCCATTTGAATTTAAAAAATAATTACGCATTTTCAAACTCCAACAAAATATACGCATAATTCAAGCGAAGTTCGAAGTTTTCAATTTACCTACCATAGTTTTTGAAGATTTTTGTGTTAATCGAAAGTTTTAAAACAAGTTAGCTGTTTAATTTGAATTTGTGCTACTGTATGCATTATGCAGCGACGCCATTTAACAAGAGAGGAAATGTTAAGGGCAGAAGGCATGCTTCAAACTGGGGATTCTCAACGGAATATTGCTGAGGACATCGGCACAAAACAAAACGTGTTATCACGGTTATGGTCACGTTATCGTGCTACTGGTGAAGTGACTGAAAAACACCTAGGCGGGAAACGCATAACCACCCAACGACAAGACTGATTTTTGCAAATTGCTGCGAGAAGACAACCAAATGTTACGGCCATGTAGTTGGTTCAAAGGCTCCAGTCAGAGCACCAGTTGCTTGTGAGTGACCAAACTGTGAGGAGAAGACTGCATGAAGCTAATCTTCATGCTCGCAGACCGCTTCGTGCTCCTGCACTACGCCGAGGAAATTGTGGAAGATTATAGTGGGCCCGCGAATATTTGCTCTGGGAAGGTAGCCAGTGGTCTGTAGTGCTGTTTACCGATGAGTCCCGATTCGGTTTCCATCCTGATTCGCGAAGAGTACGCGTATGGCGAACTCCTGTTCGTGAGAGTCGCCTGCAACACCCTCAGGAGTCGAGGTCGATCCATACCATGGCAGACAATCAAAGTTTGGGCGGGAATACGTGTTGATGGAAGAACAGACCTCGTTTGGATCAGAAATACACCATGACCGCTGAAAAATACATCTCAACCAAGTGCTAGTACCAATAGTCTACCCACATCGACTACAAATGGGTCAAGAATTCACGCTTATGCACGACAATGCTCATCTCCACACAGCGCGAGTGGTCACCAGCTGGCTGGCAGGAGCATGATGTATCGGTCTTAGACTGGCCCGCGCATTCACCAGACCTAAACCCTATAGAACACGCATGGGACATGCTTCAATGAAGGGCTTTGAAGAATTTACCTACAAATATTGTCACTGAAGAGCAACCTTTTTTGTATCTTTCCAGGACCTGGGCCAATATTCCGCAGCAAAACTTTGATCAGTTGATTCGAAACATGAAAAATCGTTGCAGGACCGTTGTTAACGTCATGGGTGGTTTTGCTCGACTATTGATTTTCGCAAAATTGCAAATAACAGATTAATTTCGCTATATTTTTCAACTTTTCTTGAAAAACAAATTTATCGTTAAATTACCATTATTCTACATTTCGTCTTTACTTAAATAATTTATTTTTAGGTACAAAAAATATTTATGTTTTATTCTATAATCTACGCTAGTAAATGGGCTTAACAAATAAACATGTTGTTTATTACTCAGAAAAAAAATAGGAAATTAAAAATAATTAAAATATCCCTAGACAATGTTGATGTGTGTATATATATATATCCCTAGACCGTGTTGAACAGTGTATTTTAATTATCTTACCAACAATTGAATGGCAGAAACTACTTTGCATACTACTCATTTCTGATGCATCGGAAATTTGATCGTCTATATCGCCTGGACTAGAACAATTTCCCAATCTCAATGGAGACCTTGTTCTGCTCGATAATGAGCCGGGCATACTTTTACTGAACTCATTTCTTAGATGTGGAAATAGCCGATTTAAGCTTAATGCATTCTCTGAATGAAATGAGCTAATAACTTCATTAGAACGTGATCCTCCAGCTTGATTCTTATCGCTCCAGTTGTTTTCTGGTATCGATCTTGTCATTCGTTCATCTAGTGGTCTCTCTGAATTGTTTGTGTTTGGAACATCATTTTTTGGCACTGGTTTATCTAGGTCAGATAATTTTACGAAGAGTTCGTTGGCTTGGTCATTTCCGCCCTCTTCCTGTATAACGGAGGGTAAATTTCTCTGAAAGCTTCTTTCACTACAAATACTTTTTGATTGGCTTTCATTAATTTTGTTTGAAGGTGTTTTGCGATCTTTTGATCCATTAAACTTCATTATTTCTGAAATACTGATACTAGGATCGTCACAGAGAGATTCATATTTTTCGAAAATTTGCGTAGAATTATTTTTCTGGGACAATATATTGTCATCAGCATCGCCGCCACTGTCATCAGATATTGCTTTGTTATTATTTTTTGTGGCGTTTTTTGGTTCCGTGCTATTTTTTCTTGCATTTGTAGACAACCTAGATGGCATTTCTTTCAAAGTAGTTTTTTCACTAAAATCTATATACATAGAGAAGATGTTCTTCTTTTCATTGATATTTTCAGTTTCATTTTGAGCTTTAGTCAATGTCTGGTCAGGTATACTGGACAAATCTATAAAAAACTTGTGGCTAGATCTGTCACTGCTATCAGAATCAACGGAACTCCTACTCTTGCTGCAGCTTTCATTACTGCTAGAGTACCTGGAATAATTTCTGAGACTATCACAAGTTTTATCACTGGGTTTTTTCTGATTATTACCAAAAGATGTTTTATCATTATCAGCTTTTGGCGTAGAAGACATGTCCACTACCCATACCGGAGCACTAGGCGGTCGTGTAGATTTAATTACTTTTTCCGTTTCGGGAGGAGGAACATAAGCTCCGGAGACTATAGGTACATTCTCCATTTTTCTACGACTCGCCGGACTTCCTGTAAAACTTCCGATTGTAGGTAAATGATCTTCTACAGAAGCACCTCCTGATATAATTGGAGATGCTTCGTGATATTTTTTTAAGTTCTTAATTGGTATATGACCTTCACGACTGGCAACGGTTGTGTCACTTTCACTTTCTTCAGTTTCATATTGTTTTATTGTTGATGCGGTCAGAGACATTATTGAATTATGCGGTGTATTCGACATAAAAACGCTGCTTGATGTAGTGGAACCGTCTATTGTAGTTGGTTCTTCAGATACGATAATTTTACCACTTACACCCTTTTCACCCAGTTCTAATGTGTTAGTGCACAAAGAATCTTCTGTGATAGGAGTCATATCAAAAATAGTTGGTGACAAATCCTTTTGTATCGAATCTGGGTCTTTATTATCTAACTGTTCTAAAGAGTCTTCGTTGTCATTTTCGGACCAGTCATTAGGACTTAGGTCAGATTTATTTGTGGAACAAGGTACAGGTGCACTTGTTTTTATCGCTTCTAACTGTGCAACATCAGATTTTAAGTGTTTATCCGAAACAACTTTTATAGGCTCATCTTCTTCATCTACCAAACTTGCAGCATCTATAAAGCAAGATGAAGATTTAAACTGAGACTTTTGTACAAGACTCTCAGACGTTTCCGATTTTTTTTCTGTATTTTCAGTTTTCGTGCCACCGTTTTCAAAAACGTGCTGACGTTCATTGTGTATAAATTTTTCACAGATTTTTTTATCTTTATCAACCAATTTTGGAGGGAAAACAGATTCCCACGATCCAGTTTCTGAAGATAATGACGAGGACTCAAGAATAACTATTTCCTCATTTTGCCTTTGCTTTTCCTCTTTGGAAGAATTACAGTTTGGAACGTCCTTTTGCTGTGTTGAGTCAGTCAAATCAGAAAGCTGAATATTGTTTAACGATGGTCTTGGATCTACTAGCACTTTAGAAGAATGTTCAAATTGAGCTGTGGTAATAGCTTTTTTATCTATATTTGGACTTGAACTAGAGTCCTGAGAATTACTAACATCGTCAATAGTCATATCTTGCAACGTACTTTCTGTTAGTGACATGTCTGTCAACGTGATGTCTTTATGACTCGTTAAACTTTCGAGCAAACCAGTATTCTCTAACCCCGAGTCTGATGATGTAAATATATTTTCCATTTTCGTGATGTTATCTTCAACATTTAATTTTGCAGTATCGATAGAAGTCACCCCTGGTGAAAAAGCAAATGCTGCTGATAAATAATCTGAAGCAGAACTTGGATCGTCAGTAATTAAACTATCGGGTGAATATGCTGTGTCTACATTTTTTTCAACCACGTCACAATTCTTAAGGTCAGTGGGTTTAGTAGACGAATTAGGATGTATGGTTGAATTACTTTGACAAGATATTTTGTTTGGTTTAGATTTATTTCTTTTGTCCTTTTCAGTTTTAATCGAAAAATCACAAATGTTGGAATGTTCAGATGTTTTGGATGTATGACTAGACACGAGTGCTAAAGATGTAGGCTTATTATTTTTAATATCCCCGTTTTGATAATTTATTATTGATTGAAAGGCGTTAGAAAGTACATCTTGCTCGATCAGTTCTTTCTCCAGCAAGTTACCGTCTATGGGTACTAATGCATAATATTCTTTTGTGAGTTCGGTGCTGGGACTTGAGCTTACACTTTTCTTCAAAGCTTTTTCCGTATAAGGACTTATGCACTTAGGGGTCAAAAACACTTCAAGATCATCAGTTCCATCCTTTGAAATTTTGTTTTTCTTCAAATAATTAAGGATTTCTTTCTCCTGGTTTGTTATATTACATTCAGTGTAAATGTCACTGTAAAAAGAAAATACTCATCTCTATTTTATATATTCAAAAATAAATAAATATCTATAATTAGCAAAATTAACTATACAGAATAAAAGAAAGCATGAAAGCATTGTAACAAACAATGTCGTTATTCTTTGTGATGAGTTCCAACACATATAGAATAATAATGACATACATTTCAAATTGCTTCTTTTGTCTAATGTTATTGAACTTTTAAAAAATACAATTTTCCTACAATTAAAGCGTTATTATGTCATTAGTCATATAAATAGCACTTGTTATGATAGCATTAGTAGTTATATCTCCTGCTTTAATATGAATATATCATAAATTATTTATCAGATTCTAGTATGAGATTCAGTAGATTTTCTAGTAGTAAGTATAATACCTAGTAAAAGATTTGCAAGTCTTACCTTATAAAGGAATATATTTCATCAAATGTAGTTCGGGAGATGTTTACATGCAATATTGTTTCAAGTTTATGATAGAATTTATTTGTACGAGCTTTAAGTATACACGAATGGGTTAGTATTTTTAGTTTACCACACACCACTTCAAGATCTGAATATATGGATTCGTCAAATATTCTGTAACAAATAATGGTATGTTGGAAAAAAATAATATAATATTAGGGATCAAGGCGAGCGAGGGCGATATAAGAAAATGATAGTCCCTTACCTAGCAACATCTTCTTCAAGCTGTCTCTGTAGATGCGTTTCCAAGCGGAGGCCTTCGGCTAAAGTCGAAGAAACGCTCGCCGACGGCGGGTTACTCCTCGAATCAGCGTCCAGCATTAAGCATTTCTTAGATCTGCGCAAAAGTATAGAGTCGGTACCGAACTTGCACACCTAGCTCGCAAAATAAATCTTTATTACTGTATGTATCTCGTAACCCATTCTTAAGTTCGAGAATAATTTGGTTTATAATGCCTTTGAGCTTCGTTCTTCTTGTAAAAGATCTTGATAATGTATTACCATTGAATTAGTTATCATCGGCCTTAATTTCCTCACTGCTGAGGCTCAGGCCTTACCTATGGATGAAGTAGAATCGAATCGAATAGGGATAATGGGCCATGCATGACCCACCACGCGGACTAAGTGCACATCTCTAATTATTAACAAATGCATATACAGCCGGGACCAACGTGTCTTAACCGGGCCAAACGTGCCTTCGAAGCACGGAGGAGTTCGAGATAATAAACTGGTCACCCACCTATAACCAGCCATTACGAAAGTTGCTTTAACAACACTCGCAGATTGATCGCGCTAGCCACTGCGCCGTCGAGTTCCTCGAAATAGTAATTGTTCAAAATACGTGTATGATTGCTTAATAAAATTACTATATTCTCACACATTTACAACATTTACCAGTATACTTTCATTTTTAAATATTTTTGAAAAATTTACAATAGCCCTAATCGGCATCCTCTGTATCTATCCAGGCACAATGGGATAGAGAGGAGAGGTATTTTGACATTACCCGTCTTACGGCCGGATTCTAAATTGAGAAAAGTACATAATCTCAACTTATTATTCTCAATTACTTAAGTTTTTTTACGTTTCGTATGACAAAAAGTCCTAGTTTTATCAAATTGCTATCAACTGATTATTAAAAAATTATAAATCAGTAATGAAAACCTGTTTAATTGACGCTTAAAATGGCTTAAGCACGATTTGAGACAGAAACCGTGTGATAATAGACAATCCTAATGTATTACATCGAAAACATCCACATATTTTCTAAATAAAAATGCGACATCGAAATGGTATCAATGTAACACTTATAACAACCTTTAAACAATTCGTCATTTAATAGTTAAATCATTAATACGACTATTATGTAAATAAATATTTACATATTGCACTACATACTTTTGAAATATTTCAGAAATTTCGACACGACATAATCATTGCACAAATAAACAAACAGCCGTTAGTGAACGTAATATCTGCCATAAATTATTGAAATGCTAATCACGAATCTCATTGTCTTGTACTATTGATGATGACATCATCCAGTGGCAACTCCACTTATGGTGATGAGTAACACCATTTGCGTTATTTATATAATAATAAAACCTCAGATCACCAAAACTAAAGGCTAAATGGTACCATTTTGTATTTTTATTTTATAAATAAATAGTTAATTAATATCTGAGTAATAATGTAAAAGTAACAGCATATCTGCGATTAATATTTTCGACGATACGTTGTTATGTTTATGGAACTCATGCTATTCGGCCAAAACCGCTCCCTATAAATTTGAACCATTGACAGTCAGTTGCACAACCGTCTATTAAGGTTTAGTTGCACCTTTAAGCTTTAATGAATACAAATTTATATGGTTTAATGTCACATTACACAAATGATGATTTTAATGGACGTTTATGCAGCCGGCTGTGAGTGACGTTACAGAACGCTACGGTAGCGGAAAACGTATGGGCGTCTGGACAATCCTTTGAATATCATTTGTGCGTTTATATTTATAGCTGTTATAATGAAAGTTGTTGCGTTTTACGTAACTAATTTAACGTCATATGTATTTTAGCAAATTTTTGTAATTTAAATTCAAACTTGTTAATATTTCATTAAAAATAAACATAACAGAAACCAGTATTTTCACTTGTAGAACACGACCCTTGTGGAATATATGCAGGGCCATATCCAGGGGGGTTAAGTACAGCATTTGTAAAGAAACGGTGAAAATGGAGGGGGGGGGGGGGGTGTTATCAACAAACCTTGATTACTTAATTACTCAATATTGATTCAGAATTTTTTTTATTGATTAATTTTCATTAATTTAAAGTAAAATTGGCAAAGCTTATAACATTCTTGCAAAGCTTCATGAATGTCATGATAGCGGTAAATGTCTTAGACTTCAGTGGGTTCCATCTCATATTGGATTAAGTGGAAACGAAGAGGCTGTCAGGTAAGCGAAAGAAGCCTCTGCAGATGGAAATGTGTTAAATATTCCTCAATTTTATACAGAATTACTACCAAGGTATAAGAAATCTATTTGCGACAACTGGAAGCAATACTTTGATGAACGCACAACATCCAAAGGTATTTAGTATAAATCCATGGTGAGCCTCTTCGAATACCATGGTTATCATAACATATTAAAGTCATGCTTAGACTTAGATCTGGACACTATCCGACTAAGGGTTTTGGTTTCTTAATGAAAAAAAAAAGCGTAATTGTGATACAAAGCATTCCAGCCCATTTCACAGATATGCTGACTAGTTTTGACTGTAAAGATATCCACGCCATTCTTGTTTCTGAATCCTGGCTAAAGCCATGTCTTCCTTCAGCTTCATACTCCTTACCGGGTTTCCAGTTGATCAGAAATGACCGCGCCTCTGGTGGTGGAGGTGGAGTTGCTATATACCTGAGATCACATATTCCATACAATGTACTTAACATGTCACCACAGCCGCCGCCACCTAACGCAGGTGAGCACTTGTTCCTAGAGGTGACACTGCGGCATACTAAAATCCTGCTTGGGGTATACTACAGCCCATCATGTCGCGTGGACTTTTTCTCTTCTTTTGAAAATATATTGCAATCTCTTACCCCTTCTTACAGTCAAACAATTATTATGGGTGACTTTAACACTTGCCTTCTCAAGAAAGACTTTCGCTCTTCAGCATTGTCCACTGTCATCGAGTCTAGTAACCTTTTCATTCTACCTTTAAATGCTACTCACCATTTCCCTAACTGTACTCCTTCTCTTCTTGATCTTGTTTTTGTCTCTTCCTTAGAGCGTGTTGCTAAGTATGGTCAATGTTCAGCTGATGCCTTCTCTTATCACGACCTTATCTTTGTCTCTTATAAAGTTAAGCCTCCGAGGGAAAAAAGAAAAATTCTTCGTCAGCGCAATTTTAGTGGTATGGATATTAATAGTCTCCAACATGACGCTCATAACATTGATTGGACTCAATTATATGCATCTAACACAGTTGATAAAAAGCTTAACTATCTAGTTGCACAACTGACTCAGTTGTATGATGTGCATGCTCCGATACGCTCCGTAAAGATTAAACATCCTCCTTCACCGTGGCTTAGTGAAGATATTAAAGCATTAAGTCACCTTAAAGCTGTGGCCAAAACTAAATACAAACATAAGCCCACTAGCGCAAACTGGGAGAAATTCGTTGCAATTCGTAATCGCTGCAATAGAGTATGTAGGAAAGCACAACGCCACTACATCCACAGTTCCGTCGAAAACGGGGACCCAGCAAAAGTCTGGAAGTTTCTTAACTCTATAGGGATTGGGAAATCTCGACAAACGGCCATACCTGGTAGCATTGACATAAATTTATTAAATCAACATTTTTCCTCTTCGGCTCATTTTGACGAGAGTACGAAAGCAAATACCATTCAATCAATTTCATCTCTGCCCCGCCCTAATCATGATCCTTTCTTCATTAATCAATTCTCTGAATGTGATGTTAAAAAGAGCGTCTTGTCAATTACATCCAATGCAGTGGGCAATGACTGTGTCAGCCGAAAAATGGTAATGCCAATCCTCGATGAAATTCTTCCTGTGCTAACACATATATTTAACTTTTCCATATCTGTTAGTGAATTTCCGTCATCCTGGAAAGAAGCTCAAGTTACTCCACTTCCTAAGAAATCTAACCCTGTTTCCTTGTCAGATTTTCGTCCCATATCCATCCTCCCATTTCTATCTAAAGTCCTTGAGCGTCTTGTTCACAACCAACTTAGCGTATTCCTAGTTAAAAACAACCTCATGAATCCCTACCAATCCGGTTTCCGACCAGGTCACAGCACTACTACTGCCCTTATCAACATAACGGATGATATTAGGCTAGGAATGGAAACTGGAACCATCACGATCTTGTGTCTACTAGACTTTAGCAACGCGTTCAACACTGTTGATTTCGACGTTTTGCTTCAAAAATTACGCTCTATTAACATATCTCCATCAGCAGTTGATTGGTTTCGAAGTTACCTGTCTGGTCGCCGGCAGCGCGTCCGCGTTGAAGATTCTTTCTCTTGTTGGTGTGACTTAACTGCCGGGGTGCCGCAGGGTGGCGTTTTATCTCCTCTTCTTTTTGCTGTTTATATTAACACAATTTCCTGTCAGTTACTTTCTTCCTACCATCTTTATGCAGACGATTTGCAAATTTATACGAAAGTCCCCGCTGAGGATATAAGTTCTGCCATTGAAAGTCTTAATAAAGATTTAGCTCAGATTTCTGAATGGAGCCGCAAACATGGGCTTTGGGTGAATCCCACCAAAACTCAAGTTGTCATAGTGGGCAGCTCAAGGCTTAGAGCTAAAGTAAAGTTTGAGCAGACCCCGCAAATAGTTTTTGATGGAATCTCCTTACAATTTAGTGATCATGTTAGAAATTTAGGTGTATATATTGATAAAAATTTAAATTGGGATGTGCAACTCAAAGAAGTGAGTCGCAAACTTTTTGCATCTGCTGGGTCTTTAAGAAGGCTTCGCAATTTCTTGCCTACTGCCACTAAAATTGCGCTCACACAATCTCTTCTGATGCCCATTCTCGATTACGCCGACGTCAGCTATCTAGACCTTACAGAAATGCAACTGAACAAGCTTGAGTGCCTTCAAAATTTTTGTATAAGATTTATATTTGGACTACGCAAATATGATCACGTTTCCGTATTTCGCGAGAAACTCAAGTGGTTGCCAATTCGATTTCGCCGGAATGCACATATTTTAAATATGTTATTTAGTATACTTTTTAATCCCACTACCCCTTCTTATCTCAAAGATCGTTTCAAATTCGTCAAAGAATCCCACCCCCGCTTCTTGAG